AGCCACTTACAAATCATTTAATTTGGCATGTGAAAGAGTATATCCTTGTGATATATTGTACTGGCATACTCTTTGGGAAGGGGTGAAAATACTTTCCCAGATCCTTCATGGGTCTCATCCCTTTCTCTTCATGTTTCTGTGCAGTGTGGCGTCCTCCTGTTTCCCGGTCTGGATCAGGTGAGTTGATTTCTATTTTGCCTACCATCCTTGTTCTCACATGTCTACAAAGCTCACCTTCATTCCTTAGTACTCATGAATATTGGGCTTGTCTTGCATATTTCTTGAAGGTTTGCAACCCTGGTAGCCTGTTCCAGCTGGTGTTAATAGGTGACAAGTCTTTGTTCTCTCTGAGATCCTGATCACAATTGTTAAGCTTATTCTTTGACAACTACACTACATTGTTTAAATTCTTCACTAATCCCAGGCTAGTCTAGATCTCCAAGCAATTATCACTTAGTTTAGAACTTTTGTGAGACCAGGTTAAATACACGGTTAGTTTTCGGTGTCAAGAGATTCTTGGCAAATATGAATGATAAGTAGGTAGGTCAACATGGGCTTTGGAAGAAATTGGCAATGGCAGCAATTGATGTTCTTGCCACGCTATCCATTTTTTTAAAAAAAAGAACCCTCCTCTATCAAATTAGCACATTTCTTCACACAATGTACCGTACTTCTATCTTGTACTTCAATTTGTTCACCCTCATTCATGCCAAAACCAAAACTCAACAGCCTCCTTTGAATTAGTGGGTAGAAAACAGGTTGAGTTGACAATATCATTAACACTCTCAAACAACAACATCTGCCTATTGCAGGTCCTTGGGAAGGACTTGATAGATGGATAAAAATGCTGAATCTAGTCTAAAGGTCAGGCTGACTGTGCGATCGACAACAATTATAATCATTAAACTTGTATGCCTGATTCTGAACAATTCTGGGCAGCTTACAGCAATCAGACAAAGAAGTTACAATCAACTCAATCAAATATAAAGATAAAAGATGGCACGTGCAATGAGGCTAGAGGTCTTAATCCCCCTCATCAAAGGCCTGGGTGAAGAGTCAAAGGTATAACCCAGTGGTGGGTTTCAAATTTTTTTACTACCGGTTCTGTGGGTGTGGCTTGCTTGGTGGGCATGGCTTGGTGGTCATGTGACTGAGTGAGCATGGCCAACTTGACATCACTCACGGCCATGGCCGCTCAGTCACATGACCACCCCACCTAGCCACGCCCACAGAAAAAGGTAGGAATTTTTTTTGAATTTCTACCTATCTTATTTTCTGCCCAGGCTTGGCCTAATCTATCAAAGGCTTCCTTCTGCATGCCATTCCGCCCTACCTTCACCAGTTGCATGCGTCACCCTGTTTTCCCCTCCTTCAGCGGCCCTGGCCCTAGCCCCGCTTCCTCCCCCACCACCATCTCTTTCTTCGGGCTGCTTACCTACCTCCCACGGCGGCTGGTCCAGAGTCCAGAAGGCAAGCTGACCTCTGGTAGTTTTCGGTGGCCTCCAGTCAGGGGTGGGTTCTAATTTTTTTTACTCCCGGTTCTGTGGGCGTGGCTTATTTTGTGGGTGTGGCTTGGAGGTCATGTGACTAGGTGGGCATGGCTAGCTGGTCAGAGTCATTTCTGGAAGGTCCTCGCACTTATTACCAAGTCCTCGTACTTACGACCAGTCCTCGCACTTACGACCCGACTCATTTGTTTGTTTTTAACACTGATCAGCTGTAGGATGGCCCTTTGAAGCCCTGCGGCAAGAGTTTAAACAGTTTTTTTCCCTCTAGTCATCAGCTGGGACTCAGGAGGCAGCAATAGATTGGGGGTGGGACCAAATAAAAGGTAAGAATAACGTGGGTGGAGGGGTAGGGGGGAGGAGAACCGGTTCGGTGACATCATATCGTCTCCGCTACCGGCTCGGCCGAACCGGACCGGACCGGGAGGAACCCACCACTGCCTCCAGCCATCCGCCACTGCTGGGAAGCGGCTGGCAAAGAGGCAGTGGCTGGGAGGCTTCTCACAGTCGCATTGAAAAAGAAAAAGCCTCCCAGCCACCGCCACTTTGCGGCTGTGGCGGCTGCCTGCAAGTCACCAAAAACTACCAGAAGTCACTGAAAAAGCCTCTGCCGCCACTGCCCTGTTCTTCGCGCCAGCCACACACATGCATCCCATTGCCTGCTGCATTGTGCTCGGACTGACGCAGCAGGCAATGGGCCGCGTCAGTCCGAGTGCAACGCAGCACGCAATGGGATGTGACGGCAACGGCTTTTTTGGTGACCTTCAGCGACCTCTGGGAGGCATTTCTTTTTTGATGTGACTGCAAGAAGCCTCCCAGCCGCTGCCTCTTTGCCAGCTGCTTCCCGGCAGTTGTGCAGGCGGGGCAAGCAAGTGGCAACCGGGCTACCGGTTCGGGGGTGTGGCTAGCCAGCGGTTGCTACCGGTTTGGTGACCCAGGCCAAAATACCGCTACTGGTTCCCCCAAACCGGTGTGAATCAGTAGACACCCATCATTGGTATAACCCCATACCTTTGGATCATTTCCCTTAGTGGTTTCTTGTTAATGTGCATTTTCTTGTTAATTCCATTTTATTACGGGGAAATAAAATGAAACCTTTGAAAACCTACATGGCACAACAAGAAGGCCTAACTAATCAAAGAGAACCGGATTCCCTCTAAAGTTGTACCTCCCAGACTCCAACTAGACAATTCAAAGAGACCAGGATTCTCCATTTTATCTACGCTGTCCTTCAGGCACCTAGGAGTCTTGCAACTTCTTTTGCATTCCTACAGCAACTCTGGAAGCGGCAATAGGCTGAAAAGGAATGACCTGTTTTCTTTGGGTTGTTTTTAGCATTCAAAGAAGAGATTCAGATACTCTTTCTTGTACTTTTAATGCATCTCCGCTCTTGCTTTATGGGCTTTGTCCATTTTGCTGAAAGGGACATATCTGCCCAGAATTCTTGATGATGGATTCTTTCTGCTGCAGCCTTGCGGTCAGACCAGACCCTCTGTAGGGATCTTTCTGCCTGCACATTTTGTCTCTTAGTCAAGTGTGTTGCTGGGAGGCCATTTCCTTCTCTCTTTCTCTCTTTTTCCATCCAGATCTTATTTTTTAAAGCTATCAAAAGAGAGATCCCCTTCAAACCCAGGTTGAAATTCTTCAGCTTGGCTCTCTGATGGGTAATGCTTGGAGGCCTCCCCTCAGTTGCCAGGAGATGTCTTGGGAGACTACTTGTTCTTCTTCTTAATGTGAGTCATGAGTTGGGAGGCACTGGGGACACTGGATTATGGGATGCTGCTTTTGCCAGTTTTATCTCATTTCCTTGGAAGAGTTTTTTTCAAAGTCTCGGGCAGAATTGGGCCTTTTCAGTCTTTCCTGTGGTGGAAGATATCAGAAGCTGAACATAGCTAAACCTTCTATTTTTAAAGCTTGCCTTCTCAGCTCTGCAGCTTTGGCGATATTGGTTGGGGATTATGAGAATTGAGGTTCAACACTGGCGGTGGGCATCAGGGTGGAAAATTAGTATTACCTCTCTGTGGTGAAAAAAAAAATTGCTGGGAGCAATACAGCACTGAATATGGTTTGAATAAAAAGGTGTGCAGACATGCATTTTCTAGGAAGACAAAAGTTATGGAATTTAAGAGTCGGCTTTTCTCCACCCACACTCTATTGGCATCTTAGGGGGTATTGCTGTAAACTCTTATTTCCAGATCAGAAGATTTCTGTGTGTAGGTGAGAACGATCTTTACTAACAAAGCTGCTGTTCTGCTTCATTTTGAGTCCTCCTTGCACTGAAGATTTTTTTAATGGGCAAAACGTTGCTCTGTCTCCAGGCTACAAGCCTTTCCTTCAGCCAGTTATGCGTTATGCACAAATTAGGAGCTACATCTTTATTCATATTTTATAGCATCTTGCCTTGATCTTTGGGACATAGAATTTCAATTGCTGGTCCTGCGTGTAAAGGGTTCCCTCCTGCTTCATCTGTCATTTCTTTCGTCTTAAAAGAATTTTTTTCCCATGGCTTATTTATTTAGCTACCTAATTTAGAAGTCATGAACCCTTGTCTAAAGGATGCAGAATGGGGCGTATCATTCGGGTTTGCATTTTGACCGTAGATTTGAGCAGGGGTGGGCTGCTGGGGGTTCGCAGGGGTTCGGGAGAGCTACGATTTTGTGCAGTTTGGAGAACCCCCAAATCCCACTCCTAGCTGGTCCCACCTCCCCGCCCCTCCCAGAAGTCCCCACGCGGCCCATTTTGGATGCAGGAAGTGCAGGGCGTGCGTGGAGGCTTGGGGAGGGCAAAAAATGGGTTTACCAGAAGTTTGGGAAGGCTGGAAATGAGCCAGTTTCCGACCTCCAGACGGCCTCCAGAATTTGGGGAGGCTATTTTTGCCCTCCCAGAGGCTCAAAGAAAGCCTCCGGAGTCCAGGGAAGGCAAAAACACACACACACACCCGCCATGGTGCAGGAGGCCACTAGGCCATGCCCACATGGCCACACCCACCCAGCAACAGGGCAGAGAATCCCTTGCTAAAATTTTTGAAGCCCACCCCTGGATTTGAGGTATTAGAGGTGCTTTGTGTAGAGGAAGCCACAGACTTTATCCTCGTGTTATTAACACTTAAACTGAGGAGATGTAGGTTCATCCGAGGCAAACTGAATAAGTGAAGCAAAAATATAATTAGGGACTTCTCTGCTGATAGCTTAAAAACATATGAGGGAAAACTTGGTGCATGCACACTCCTCTAAGACAGTCACATATCAGTAGTTAAGTAATAGTGCAGTGGGCCCTAAATTAAACAGGAAAAAAAATTTGATTTACATTATTATTATTGTTGTTGCTGCTATTATTATCATCCCCCAAAATCAATCTACTGTAAGGTGACGTCTTCTTCAGTGAAGATTGTGGACGATGAACTACCACACTAGTTCATTGTGAGTTGTAGATATATATTTTTTAAACTTCTGTATCACACCCACTTGCCCAACTATATATGGGGGCCCTACTTACATCTCATTTCTTTTTTGCAAATGCCAGGTCTACTTTGGGAAATGGTCGATGATGGCTGCATCTATTTTTCTGCACTTTCTTAGATCTGTGGTTAAAAAAAAATAATCATTACCTGTGGAAGTAAACCAAGAGATGTCAAATATCTTTACTAAATCATGAAGCTCAATGGGTATCTTTAGGACAAGTTACTCTCTCTCAATCAACCCAACTCATGGGACCGCTGTCAAAATAATATGAAAGAACCCCCTGTTATCTTGAGTTTTCTAAGGTGATAACAAATGTTCTTTTCAAATTTTTAGTATGCTTTTATACTAAGTACCTGCTTCCTAACTCTCTCTCTCTATCAGTTGCTAGATTGCTGAAACCTTTGGTCTGTGCATTTCTAATACTTCCTACCTAGGCATGCTGCCAAAACCATTCCCCAGAAGTGAATAATCCCAGGCTGGTCCATAAATTATAAAGCTATACATCTTGTGGAATTTGCTATCAGGTTGTGGTTCTCCACTGTCCTATTCATGTTCCTTACAGCTGCCAGCAAGTATGTGGAGAAACAAAAACTATATCTGGTGCCTAATGGCATGAATGATTCCATGTCTTGTAGCCAGGCGAGGGATTAATCTAACTGAGAAAAACTGACTTGAGGCTGACTTTTGTATGAAATAGTAGTTTCCTGCTTGAGCAGGGGGTTGGACTAGAAGACCTCCAAGATCCCTTCCAACTCTGCTATACTGTGGCCTTGCAGACCCATGGTAACAAATGTGATGCTTCTCAGGCTTCTAAGAGTACTTCTGTATCACTGCTTGTTCCATTCTCCAATCATTCAGATCTAAAATACCAGTGTAGGCAATATTTTTCTGTAGTACACTGCCATCATATTGTAATTCTCCACTGTACCACAAGTGTTCCTCACATCACATACTGGGTTCAGATTCAGGTTGGCAGGAGTCCATGGTTGTTCCCACTATGGACTTTGGAAACATCTGAGCTGATTAGTATCTTTCTTGTTTTGCAGCAAAAAAAATAATAAAATAAAACTATATAGGTGCCTAACTGTTCTGGAACCCAGTATAAGGGCATTAAGTACTGAGGAATAAGGCAATTTCTTAGCCTCAAGGAGGAGGGTGTTGCAAAAAGTAAGTCCTCTCACTATGAAACTAGACCAGTATGATACTGGCCCACATCAGTTCTCCACACTATGAAACTGTCCCATATCCACATCCCTGAAAGACTTTGAGTGTCTCAAATGGTAAAATAGAAATTTGAGATATTTGAACTAGAAGCAAATTGACCTGGACATTGAGCTAATATGGAAGATCAGGGATTATGCTGTAAATCACACAGAGTCGTTGGATATAAAATGGGCGGCAAATAAATTTCCTAAATTAATATATTTGGGTCTCACACATGTGGAAAGTATCAGATTAGGATGGGATGTGTGAATGCTGCCTTGGCTAGACACAGGCAGACAAAAAAAGTTGACCTCATCATTTGCAAGGCAGCTTGTTTAAAAGCATTAGACTTTGAAATCATTCAATGAGGTAATTTCCCCTTGGGACTTTAAAGGACACTGTGGACCACAAGTGCTTTTCACAGAGGTGTAACTTAATACTGCTGTGGGTTTTCTTTTTTTTTTCTCTTTTGGTGGTCTACATGCTAAAGATCGGATGGCTTCCTCCGTTATCCCAGCATATGTAAGCATTTGGCATAGGAAGGAGCCAGATTTGGGTTTTCTTTAAAGGCAGGTGTCTCTTGCAGATGGCAGCAGTTGTCCAACCTTGATTAGGCTTAGTGCTAAGCAAGATGGGTCTGATAGGACTTAAATGAAAAATCACCTGGTAAATCCAGCTCTTCCATATGATTGTCAAGAACATGCCAGGAATATGTGCACATCCACTTCAAGGAACTTAATTTTAAATAGGTATTGGTGTTGTCACATTGCAACCCAAGCATAAGATACATTCAATCACCCAATCGTTTTTGGAGATGAGGCAGCCATAGTTCCTCACTGTTCCTCTGGGGCTTGGTGCCCCTTTTTCCTCACAAGACTTCACATTAATTGCCTAATAGAGGCAGAATAGACCTTAAGGGAAGGGAAGAGAAAGGTAGACACACATCCCCACCACATCTCTCTTGCCATTGGTAGCTATAAGACTAGGGTCCAAATTGGAAGCTGACAGCCGAAACATAGGAAAAGAATATTCCCTACAATAGTTATTTCATTATTGGGGAAGAGAAATGCCAGGCAAAATTTAGAATAGGCTTCAACATCCTTGTACTCTCCAAGGTGGAATTTGCAGAGTTAAAATCTTGTCACATCTGGGGGGCACCAGGTTGCAAGAACCAGTTGCAAGAGTAGGCTTCTGTTGCCAGGCCTAAATCCACCACTGGCAGTAGAATATGGTTGCCTAGCAACTGTCACATTCTCCATCCACCAGCCCTGCCCCTCAGAGTAGCTCCTGCTGAAGGCCAGCTGTTTCAATGGAGGGATGGTGAAACAGCTGGCAAATGTCTTTTGATAAGTCTTCTGCTAATGCAATTCGGAATATGCATCAGACTTCCTGTATTCTTAATACTGTTGTGCATACACTTTTCTTCTGTTATCATTTGAGGCAGTACCTTTCACAAGATATAGCCAAGAAAAATGGGATCTCCAAATATTCCATCTATAGCCTTAACATCTCGCTCTGTGAGCTGAAACAGGTGGCTTGGGGTAGGGGTGTGTGTTTGTGTCCTGTATAAAGGGACACGTTTGTCTCTTGGCCATTTTGGTCCTCCAGGAGATAATATGAATTATAATTTGACCCTCCCTATCAAAAGCCTGGGAGCCCAAATTCCAAATCCTTTTTCCTCACAAGACTTCATATTAATTGCCTAACAGAGGCAGAATGGACCTTAAGACAGGGAAGAAACCATGATGAGAGCCTAAGGAGTTACAACAGGGAGAACTGGACACAGGATGGAACAGGGGCTACATTTCCAGGTTGCAAACCTTTGCTTTTCCAGTTGTTTTTCCTTATCCACATACCCTTTCTTACAAAGCCTCCATTTGCCTACAGGGGTTGAACACTAAATTGGGGCTTTAGGGAGGCCCTTTATTTCCTTTTGTTTCCGTTCCTTTTCCAGCCACCTCCGCATGTGTCTCTTTGCCAGGGAAATGTCAGCAACCAGCAGGGAGAGGAATTGGTGATATACACTACCTCCTCCCCATTTCTCAGAGCTGGGAAAAGAGCCAAGGACTTCACAGTGCAACCCCCACTCCCCCAAAAAAGCACAAATACCACTATTCTAATCAATCTCCCCCCCATTTCAGAAAACCCAGGAATCCTGCCCTCCCAGAATCTCCATGCTAGAAACTAAGTTCCACCTTCTCTGCCCTGCTAACTGTGGAGCAGAAAGGATACACTACAACTGAGTTTACTTCCTCTGATGCTATTTATCTGTGGACAGGATAATCTAAAAGATTTTTCTTCTTCTGGCCACCTAGATAAGGGCTACCTGATCTGGGCTGCAAATATCCAGGCACTCACTAGGTAGCAGCAAAGGTGTAGGAAAAGTTGTAACTCAACTGTAAGCTATTGGTGGTGTGTACTTACACAGAAGGGACGCAGTGGCTCAGTGGCTAAGAAGCTGAGCTTGTCGATCGAAAGGTCAGCAGTTCAGCGGTCCTAATCCCTAGTGCTGCGTAATGGGGTGAGTTCCCGTTACTTGTCCCAGCTTCTGCCAATCTAGCAGTTCGAAAGCACGTAAAAAATGCAAGTAGAAAAATAGGGACCACCTTTGGTGGGAAGGTAACAGCGTTCCGTACGCCTTTGGTATTGAGTCATGCCGCCCACATGACCATGGAGACGTCTTCAGACAGTGCTGGCTCTTCGGCTTTGAAACGGAGATGAGCACCGCCCCCTAGAGTCGGGAACGACTAGCACATATGTGCGAGGGGAACCTTTACCTTTACTTATGCAGCCCAGAATTGGCTAGAATGGCTCCTTCTGCATGCCAGACTGGAACTCTGGTTGCTGATTTCTCAATGGCCATGATTTGCCATTTTGTGAATTGCTAGTTGTTGTTCACCATTTCCATGGCATCCTTGCCTCAATTTTATCTCCATCACTCAATGGCTTCCCTGCGTCCCTTTTGGTGTGTTTTGATAAATCCCACTGCTTTTTTTCCTCTCCATGCCTGATCTGCATCCTTGCCTCCACCCTTCCTTTGTCAGCCTTTTTGTATTTTGCTGTGTGTCTTTGTAAAGCCTCTTCACTTTCCCTTACCGCCTCCTTTCCCCACCTCTTTGATTCCCATCCTGCATTGTCTTTCTTTTTATCTGCTTTTCTATCTGGCTCTTGCTTGTTAACTGCATCTGTCACTTTCCTCTTTCTGTGTTCCCGACATTAACTGCATTTCTGTTCCTTCTTATCTGTTCTCATTAGTCCACCTTCCTCCTCAGCTGTTGTTTCTCCATCCTTCCCCACATCTAATTTCTACTAGCTTTTCCCTCGACCCTCACTACATTTTCCCCATCTTTCTACTAACTGTTCTCTCTCTTTTCTCTGCTCCTTCTCTTCTGCTCAGCCTTTTATCATCACAATTTCTTCATTCTTCAACTATCCCCTTTTCCAGAGTCCATCTTCCAACACATCAGCAAATATGAGTAATAGGGAAGCATGTTGCTAGTCACAGTGGAGAGCCTGGTATTTTACTCCAACTTTTCTGGGTTTTTTTTCATCTTTTTTTAAATACATGTTTCTTTTCTTTAATCATCCTTTCAACTTCTTTATCACTTCCCTCCCTGCATAGCTTTTCTTTATCCAAGCTTCTATGATTGGTGCCTTCAGGTCTCCAACTTATACCTGACACTCTTTTTGGATTTCAATCCGTTTCTGGTTTCCATCATCCTAATCTAGCCACCCTCCGCCCCATATTTTTTCCAACAAACTCCAAATCTACATCCCCTCGTGCTCTTTCATTTCTTTGCCTCCTGATTCTTATTCTTGTCCTTCTGTTTTTCTTTCTCCACATATCTCCAAAACATTTCAAACATATCTTCCTTCATCATTTTATCTTGCCACCTATTGGTCCATTCCCCTGTCACTCTTTCTGATTCAGACTTAATCTGTCTGCTGAATTTCTGTTTCTCATACTACTCTGAATCATTACCCAAGTGGGTTGCATTCACAAGACCCCAACCCCTTTGCCCCTGCTCCCAATAATAAAGTTTAACCAACTTAGCCTGCTGGGCAATTCCAGCTAGAGGGATTTGGCTGGGTAAACTTGGCCAATCTGCCTAACCCATTCCTTTGGCTTCTTCCTCTTCGCCATCAGTCTTTCTTTCCTTCCTTCCTTCCTTTCTTTCTTTCTTTCTTTCTTTCTTTCTTTCTTTCTTTTTCTTTCTTTCTTTCTTTCTTTCTTTCTTTCTTTCTTTCTTTCTTTCTTTCTTTCTTTCTTTCTTTCTTTCTTTCTTTCTTTCTTTCTTTCTTCCTTCCTTCCTTCCTTCCTTCCTTCCTTCTTCTTTCTTTCTTTCTTTCTTTCTTCCTTTCCTTCCTTCCTTTTTTCTTTCTTTCTTTCTTTCTTTCTTTCTTTCTTTCTTTCTTTCTTTCTTTCTTTCTTTCTTTCTTTCTTTCTTTCTTTCTTTCTTTCTCTCTCTCTCTCTCTCTGTGTATGTGTGTGTTTACTAATCTCATTTTTTGTTCCTCCTGGCTCTGGTCTGTCTCACTTGAACGTTACACCTCTTTCATAGCGTTCCTAGCTCCATTCCTCCTTTGCCTTCTCCATCCTCTCTGCCCTTTCCCCGCACTTCTCATCCATCCGCTCTTCGTGCTTCTCCCATCGTCCCAGATGGTCCCCTAACCGTTTAGTCTCCCCTCTCCTTTTCTAGCAGTCGTCCGCTCTTTTCTTAGCGCCTTTTTTTTTTGGGTTGCTTTTCTCCTACAAACCCCCCCCCCAGGAGGTGGGGAGGGGGTGGTCTCTGCATTTCGTTCCCTCTTCGTTCTTCCCCATCATCGGTGCTTTTCCTTGGCCGCCTCGCTCCCTCGCCCGCCCGCCGCCCCTGCGACGAGGCGGTGCGGTGGGCTTATTGCAATTCCCCCCGCGCCCTTGGACGGCGGCGTTCCGCGCCGGCTCCGCGCTGACATCAGCCCCCGCCCCCTCCTCACCCTCCCCCTCCTCTTGGCTGGCTCGCTCGCCAACCCGCCCGCCCGCCCGCCAGCTCGCTTGCTCGCTCGCTCGCTCGCTTACTGCAGCACCGACGCCGGGCAGCGCCATGGAGGAGCCGGCTCCGGCGCTTTCGCCGCCGCCACCGCCGCGCAGTGCAGCCACCACCGCGCGCCCTCGCCGCCGTCGCCCCTGACCTCCGGCCGGCACCATGGCCTTACCCGGCCCGCGGCCCGGCGGGGGCCCCCAGGCGGCCTTGCTGGTACTCACGGGCTGGCTCTTGCTCTCTCCTCCGCTGGGCGCAGGCAAGAAGAGGCTGCACATCGGGGCGCTTTTTCCCATGACCGGCGGCTGGCCGGGGGGCCAAGCCTGCCTGCCTTCCGCCCAGATGGCCCTCGAGGACGTCAACAGCCGGAGGGACATTCTGCCCGACTACGAGCTGCGTCTCGACCACCGCGACAGCGAGGTGAGCAGAGCCCCACCTGCCCCAGCGCCCAGGTGGGGGACCGGTGGGCTTCCACGGGGGGGGAGGGAAGGGAAGAGGGTCCTTGGTTGCGATAGGGAAGCCCTCCCCACCCCCCAATTTCACTGGAAGGAGGTGGGAGAAATCAAAATTGGGAGAGGAGAACATTGTGCCTTATAACCAAGGTAAGTTCTGCCTGCAGTGGGATGCTTGAACATAATGGGCAATCTTGGCACAAGTCCTCCTCACCGCCAGATCAAGCAAGGGACCCATCTGTAAATGGAGACCAAAGCGGCTTGCTTGGAAGAGGTGTTTTAAAAGGTGTCGGTCGGTCGGTCTACGCAACTAGGATACTCTTAGGGGGAGAAGGTTCATAGAAGGATGGAAAGACAAAGCAACCTTCAAAGTAAGAGACGTGGAAATCCTGGAGCTGGTCTTGGTTGAGGGAGCAGGGCTGTGCGTGTGAAGGTTCACAAGAAGGCTAAAAAATGAGGGGCAGGAAAATAGCAGGACTGAAGTTAGCGTTCAAGGCTTTCGAGCTATGGGAGAGGTAGAGACTGTGAGCATAATCAAACAGAAGT